TCCGACGGAAGAATTAGATACATATTTTGCTCGCAAGAGTATACCACACACACATGCACGTAACAAACGCCCTTGTGCGCCGCCGTGCTGCGAGATCGTGCGGAAGGTCTGTAGGCGACACGCGCCTGATATAGTTTTCGAACAAATTCAGCTGTATGAAAGACAGAGCAGGAAGCAGACAGGTTAATCAAGCTGTATTATATTTTCATATTAATTGACCTTCCACGAGAAGTCGCATAATTTTGCATAAAATCGGCAACCCTAACTATGAGCCAATAAATATAATTGCTTAGACCAGCGCGTGCTTGTCACTGCAATAGCACGTGTTTCAAAGCTTTCAACTCCACGTTGCCTGCGGAGCATTAATAACCAATCCTTGCCTGTCAGCGACGCTTAAACAACCTGATCACCCTTTACTCTTACAGGCGCAGCATTTTACATAACGTATCACATAACCCTGTAGGACCACAGCCCTCAATCCCCCAAACATTCAATACTCGTGTCTAGCACGAAATCTGTGTACAACGGCACGTTTGTATGTATGTAGCACGTTATAACTTTATTCATACGCCATTAGCCTGCAAAAAAGATCCACTGTCCCTTGTGCCATATCGGCCACAACCAGTGGCAAATTTCTTCGCGTAGCTTGCGAACGCGCGGTGTTATCCATAACCCGGGAGCAACGTCTCATTAAGGCGGTAAATATAGTTGATGTGCGGAGTGTTTATCGTTTTCGTCCGTTTGCTAATTTATCAGAATGAAATCTCCGACGTGCTTCTAAGCTCCCACTCGGTGATGGTTTAGCAACGCTCATCCAGCTTGAGTGAAAAACCTCATTTTTATTCGAGCTATAGTTCCAGTTTTACACGTGTCATGAAGTCCTTGCTTCACACACGATGTGGCGTGAGCCAGCTACATTACAATTACACGTGTTTATAAACACACGCGTGTTATATAAACCAGCGTATTTGTATCTATAACATGCACCACGCATTACTAACAACGCGCTACGGCCCATAAAATTATAGCCAACCCCGTTTTCATATAAATCGATTTAATTTCTAATAATTTTCATTCGCCAAAAATCCTATAAATTACGTATAATATACCATCCCAAATTCAGACTGTGCTGATTTTATATCGGCGGCTAATTTCGTAATCGTCTACAAAAGAATCGTGCCTAGTAAATTTATCAGGCGCGTTCTAAGGAAACAATCGATTTCACAGTTGAGCGCGCATACATATAGTAGACATTACAGGGAAAATAATCATGGTGTGCGATTCTGTAGGTACTCACGTTGCTATGCACAGAAAAGCCCACTTTCCCACGGAGAATATAAGCCCCAAACACCCGAAAGCCAGAATATATCATAATTAACTTATATGACAAAATTAAGCCTAGATCACGAAACCATCGTAAATCTCTAGGATAGAAGCAATACTCCGCCGTAACGATAATGTATGTCTGATTTTATTTAATTAGTCGACTGTAGACTTGAAGATAAAAATTGAATTATACGTCATGGCCCACTGAAATATCGCGAGGTGTAAAGAGCACGGCAACATATATGTTAGCGTAATATACACGTGAACAGCTGTTGTTTATTGACATTATACATTCACGAGCAACATAAAACTATCATAAAAATTATACAGGCTATCTGAATATATATATATATATATAGGCTACCTACAAAGGTCCCAAGTTGGGAAAATCCAAGAAAGGGATCACTTGTGAGAATGGTCCATCGCCGTTTTTTCGCGGTGCGCAAAAAAAGGAAAAAAGTTGTGGCGGGCAGCGACATGTGTTTGTCGCGACGCGCCACCATGTAAAATATAATGCAAATTCATGTTAATTTATGGTCACACAACGACGTTATTGTGAAAACAAAAGTGTTTGGCATTTGTGGCCTTTTATTGTTCGCTGGAATCAAAGTACATCAACAACTACGGCAAATTTAGTAATTTACTGATGTAAATTTTAATATATGGCTGAAAAATGTTACGACCGGGACTTTCTGGACTCTTAACGGGACACCGGATCCAGCATGTCGACCCGGGACGATCCCGGTGAGACCGGGACACTTGGGACGTCTGTACCTAATACCTATACGTATAAATTACGCAACGGCATGGATCACGCAATTGTAGCTAGGCCAGTAGGCCTACCAATAATATACCAATGATAGGTATAAGTATACCAATAATTATATACGAGACATCTATATGGACATGACGGCGTTTTAGGTCAAGTTCATCCTTAAGCTAATATGAATCGAATTCCACGGATACAGAATAACGATATCTATTCTATGCCTGTCGTACTTCGTCACACATGCACGCACGCGTGCCCACGCACACACACACCCACGCACACATGCACGCACGCCATAGGATATTCACAAAAGGTTTTTCGCCAATCCACGTGCTGCCGTCGTTTGACTGCGGGGCTAGTGTATCATGGACTCCCCGGATGTAAACAATAATTCAAAGACATAATGTACACAGCAAGGAGGTACACAGGTGTCTCCAGGTGTCACGTAGTTAATTTAGACGCTGTGATAATATAAATGCTTTTTGTGTGTTCAGTTGAATACCAAACTCTTTGGCTATATGACTGACTTTACTTCCTGAAACTATGGATGTTAGCGTTGCGAATGGCAATAGGGAAAAGGTGTCCGATTCCACAGACAGTGATAGCATTGAAATGTACGTGTATTACTGACTTGCCATAGCTTACTTTTTGCCATAGAAAATTGTGAAAATCAATAATATAAACTTGCAGTTTACAGTGTGGTTCCATTACTATTGATTGTGCCACCTCTCCCTAGCTCTAGTACTATAGCCCGCGTTCATTGGCTGCCTGCACAGGCACTTGGAACGTCTCAATAAAAAAAATTAATGGTAAATATACACGAAATGTACCAAAGTCTTAATGTTTCTCTACTATATTTCGCCTATAATCACCTGTAAATGCCAGTCAAATGCTCATCTGCAACACGCAAGTACACCACACGCCCACGCTGTGCACAAACAACATGAATAAGAGAGCAGGTAGGAAAGCGTGATCGCAAAATTCGCTCAACGCTCGCTTCATTTCACACCTTTACAGCACAAATACACATCCAACAGCTTCCATCTTGGTATCCATGTGTACAGAAATATTCACTTGTTCGAATTATAACGCTGGCCTTTGTTCATACCTACTCCTGCCATAACCCGACCAGGCTGTGTGACTAACGTCAATACACCGCCTGACATCCATCCATTGAAAAATCTTGTAGCTGTACAAAAACTACCGAACAATTACGTATATCTCAAATAAAATGATCATCTAAGCATTTCTGCCTTGTTTTTTATCAAATATAACCTTCACCTTATAGTATTCCAGCGTTGTTATTAAAACTAATACCTCAGTTTGCTGTGCACAGTGTAAATTTCAAGAGCCAAACCGAAATTTCAACTAACCGCCAACCGCCATGTTTGCAATGCGCATGATTTTCGAACGGCACGCGGAAAACCCGAAACGACATAACATACCATAACGTTGCTACTTGCGTTGGCGCGAGCATAAAGAAGCATCATATACTCGTATATATATAAATATTAAAACATTGAAAACCAGGAATCGTCAATCTACAACAACTTAATAATTATCATTGCGAAGATATGTACTTGCGTTGTATTTGGCCTACGCACTGTGAAAATCAGGTACATTGCCGATTTTAGTTGCACTAAACATGGCAGACATGGCGGCTGTCTGGTTGTTTTGATCCAATTAATCTCAGAAAAACGGTATAACTCAATAAATAAGTAGCGCCCAGTAGCGCCCAGTTACCGCGAGCAAGCCAGAGGTTTATAGATTCGTTTGAGCTATTACATGTGACGCTAGCTGTGTCGATGGTTGGATACCGAGCCAACTACAAGGAATTGTGGGCAAGAAATTGAAACGGTATTCTAACCCTAGCAATACCGTTTCTTGGAGCTACTCCTGCCAGAGATATCTCGTGAAATCCTGCACGAAATGTGCTCTCCGTAAAAATGTAAAGAGGATGTTATCATCCGAAAATCCTTAATGGCGCTACTTTTGATCGATCACTGTAGTCGTGTGTGCGTGACGTCATTCCCGTGCGTGACGTCATTCCCGTGCGTGACGTCATTCCCGTGCGTGACGTCATTCCCGCGCGCATTGTGTTTGGCTTGGCGGGCCTCGAGCTGGAGCTCGGAGGCCGGCAGCAGCTCATCCCGGCATGCAATGCGCCGCCATTACTCGTGTATAAATAGACATGTTGTCCTCTTTACATTTTCACGGAGAGCACATTTCGTGCAGGATTTCACGAGATATCTCTGGCGGGAGTAGGTATATGAACAAAGGCCAGCATTATAATTCGAACAAGTAAACATTTCTGTACACATGGATACCAAGATGGAAGCTGTTGGATGTGTATTTGTGCTGTGAAGGTGTGAAATGAAGCGAGCGTTGAGCGAATGTTTCAATCACGCTTTCCTACCTGCTCTCTTATTCATGTTGTTTGTGCACAGCGCGGGCGTGCGGTGTACTTGCGTGTTGCAGATGAGCATTTGACTAGCATTTACAGGTGATTATAGGCGAAATAGAGTAGAGAAACATTAAGACTTTGGTACATTTCGTGTTTATTTACCATTAATTTTTTTATTTAGACGTTCCAAGTGCCTGTGACCACAGGCACTTAGGCCGTTTCAATAATAAAATGATGGTTAATAAATACAACTTGTCAGTACTAGACCTACTAGTACCAGTACCAGTAATAGTCTTAATGTTTGATTTGACTTAATAACTTCACTTCAATACTGTCCAATACACCGCTACAACACATAGCGCGCACGCCATTGTGCATGCACAAATACACAGTAGGATAGAGTGTACACAGTAGGAGGGAACACAGTAGAAGGGAAATACACAGTAGGAGGGAATACACTCTATCCTACTGTGTATTTGTGCATGCACAATGGCGTGCGCGCTATAATACTGTGTTGTAGCGGTGTATTGGACGGTATTGAAGTAAAGTTATTAGATCAAATCAAACATGGGTTAAGACTATTACTGGTACTGGTACTGGTAGGTCTAGTAGGCCTACTGACAAGTTGTATTTATTAACTATCATTTTATTATTGAAACGGCCCAAGTGCCTGTGGCTGCCTGCGGCAGTTAATGAACGCGGGCTATAGTACTAGAGCTAACCTCTCCCTATCCCTAACCCGACCAGGCTGTGTGACTAACGTCAATATACACACTATATAGGTCTAGGGTCTCCTAACCGGGTAACCCTAGCAAATACCTTTTCTTGGAGCTACCCTATCCCTAGCCCTAGTCCCAAATTCTAAACATAACCCTAGTCCTTATCCATAACAATAACGTTAACCCTAAGCTAACCTTAATTTAATTTATTATAAGAAGGAAAAGATGTTGACCTCGTGTAGCAGGAGGATTAATGAATAACAACAACAACAACAACAACAATGTTGAGTTGAGATGATGAGTACGAAACCTGGTGGATAGCAGAGAAATAGGATAGAACAGCATGGCAGCTAGTCATTATAACCACTAACCAGTACCCGAGAATCTCCCTAGCTTTTCGTCAAGTTTTATTGATAGTAAAATATAATGTTCCCCAGATGCTAACTCCAGATAATTGTCGTTATATGTGGACCAGTGTATATTACTCTGCTGTAGAGTAAAATATGACGTGCGATTCGGTTATTGGTATAGCAATTGATATGAATGCCCTATTTAATTTTTAAATACATGGCACACCTGGCTTACGGACTAGCTTTTCGAAAGGAAAGTAACTAGACAACATAGGTGTTTTTTGTTCGTTAATGTAGTTATACTCGTTATGAATAAGTGCCATTTTAGTATTTATTGCTTTGCAATATGACGACGTACGTGTTCAGTAAGGCTGAGAGGGTCTATGTCCCCTAGGGTACTGCCGGAATATGCCAGACCGTACCTCGCCTACTCCACTAACGAGTCTAGGGAGTCGCCTATGCCTACTCCCTAACCCTAACCCTAACCCTAACCCTAATCCTAACTTTAACCATATCAGATAGTTACCAGGGTACGTTCCGGTATACCAGACCGTACCCAGGGTACGTTCCGGCAGTACCCTGGGGGACATAGACCCTATGAGCTTCAGTAAGATGCCTGCCCTTATTGCAACAGCAGTGTTTTCTCAGCAAACATTAAAAGTTCAACAATTTTGTTTGTTAGCCATTTGTTTGATCTGCCTCTTTAGTGAGCAGCCAGAATGGGCTGCAGCTGTGCAGGATAGAGGTGATTTGTTTTACGTGGAGGGAAAGAGCAGCGCCGAAAGAATCGCTGCACCAGTGGAGAGCAAGACTAATGGCAAGACTAATGAGATGAATACAGTAGTGAACAACAATTACAATAAAGTGAAAGGTCAGTTCATTACTCGCATCTAATCAACAGTTGCTCGTTAGCTTTGCGTTTCGTACTGTTTGTAGGCAGCAAGTCGCCAGAGAAAAGCTAGATATTGTCAACATATGAATAATATATAACTAGAGCAAGACTAATAATCCAATTATTTGTCCCAAGGTAGAACAAAATTATAAATGCACCACACACATGCACCAGTTCTGTATGTAGTTGATGGTACCCCCTTAACATCCCTAAACTATTGATTAAATATATGACAATATATGACAACTAAACTACATGCTCGTTTTTTCTGCCGCAGGGTTAGTGAACAAAACGAAACATGAAACGGACATATTAAGAGATCTCCTCACCGACCACGTTCCACATTCCGTATCATTCTACGATTCGCCGACTGGCAAAGTAATTGAGGTTTACCTTGACGTTGATCCTACCAGACGTAACTACGGACGACGAGCATCACGGTGTGAAACTTTGTTTGGAATAATACCAGGTGAGATGTGGATATACTACAAAAGCCAAACGATGATGCACAGAATCGAACATAAGTCACAAACTACCCAAAACAATAATTACTCGGTCACAGACAATATACACAGAATGTGTGGTATAGGGGTTGTTGTATGAAAAGGCATCATAAATTGAACTGTAAGTAAATATTGGGCTTGGAAAATGAACTCGTGTGTATCATGACATACTACTAGCTCAAAGGAAGTACAACTCGTGAATCACCTTACAATGTAGTTTTATGATGCAGTATCAGCTGTGTACATTCAGTTATTTCTCACATCATTTATCACCTTGTTAATAAGCGGCAAAGAAAAAACGGTTGGAAGTTTTTGGGCCACATTTTTTAGAAAAAAGCCTAGAGCTGAAGTAAATTACACTGAGTATTTCTTTTATACATGTAGAAACAGGCATACATTTACATGCATACAATGCTGAAATGACATATTTATGAGATCTTTCTGGTGACACGTGCATCTGCAATTTCAAGTGTAAATGCTAACAATACATAACTACACGAAAATTTTCCATGTTAAAACCCATTTTTGGAAGTTATACTATAATCACTGTTACTAAACTAAATTATGCATTCCTATCATAAAACCCTTGTAGACATAAATTTTTATGGACCACTTTATACATTGATTACCATGTCCATACATTCATGCATGTTGCATTTATGTTTAAAAAAAAGACAATTCTCGTGACATCTAATTGTCAGTTCCACTCTGCTGTTGATTTTGTGCCTTTTGGATTCTTTTAACACGTATAATGAGGGCGTGTTCCAGTCTGCTAGTCCCTCTATCAAGGGATTCAGTAGTTGTATCAACATTTCCAAATTCTCAAGTGACTGTCTGTCTCTGATTGTGCATTCGTTAGTTGGATTTACTTTCCCTAAAAGTGGCACATGTTGGAATTTGCTTTGTATTTAGTTTCTATTGAATTCCAGTATTTTAATTAATTTTTCTTTTAACAGTACCATTATCAATATTTGAAGAGCATTGATATCACTGCATTTTTATAAAGTCTGTCGTTTTACTTTTAAGCACGTTGTCTTTCCCATGTACTCTGGCTCCCTTTTAATGCGTTTTTACATACCTATCTTGTGGTTTTAACAGTCAAACATAGTCTGTGGCTTTTCTATGAGGTTTTATCTGCATTACACAATGTGCTATACCTCGCTTGTCCACCCTAGGTTCTGAATTATCCTTGCAGATCGAAGATATATGCTTCTATACAGAAATTATGGTGCATTCCCTCACAGTTCACACACTGATTTCATTTGCTTAACAGATTGAATGGAAATGCACGTCAAGTGTGAAAAGGCAAATATTGATTCAATGAATATGGCAATAGTGTCTGGGAAATTCGTTAGCTATTAATTAATTATTTTTGTCTCGGTAAGCATACTGTAACGTTTGATTTGTGGTTGTAGGCCACTTCTCAGAAAAGGACAGCAATGGCCTCAGCAATAGAGACTCGGTGGACGACTTGAGAATCATGGTCCAGGGACTACTACCGTCCGGAGAAGCTGAGAGAAGTGGCAACGTTAAACTAGGCGAGTTTTAAATGTGATAAAATGTGATCTTAATATTAAAATTATCTTTTCTCAATTGAATCGAATTGCAAAATTTATACATGTCGATAAATTAGTCCTTATGCGTTAGCGAACATAATACTGATTACTCCAGCATAAATATTATTATGAGTTTGTGCAGTTATTGGCTATAAAACACCAAATGAACAACAACCTTGCGCAGGTTTGCATTCCTGAGATTCACGAGAATGAAATTGAAAGTGCTGCCAAAAAGCAAGTGCACGTGTTTACGTGACATAAATTCTTCTAGACTGGTACACTATCTTGGCATGTAGACAGTGTTAACCAGGGAAAATAGGGGAATTTATTTTTTAGGGGCTACTTTTCAAGATCGCGTGCATGAAAATAGCTCTCTAAAATTTGGTTTGCCTTGAACTCTATGCAAATTTACGGGGGCTCGATCTTTTTGGCATTTCGGGGGCTAAATCGCCCCGAGCCCCCGTGTATTTTTTTCACTGGTGTTAACATAGTGTAGAGACAGGGCACCAGTCAATGGTATCTCACGAGAACCAGAGTCACGTTCTAGAGATGCTAATGCAATCCTCTTATCGTGATATATATTTAACCTTTCAGGAGACTGGTTACGATGTATCAACGACTTCGAAATTAACTATAACAATGTCAACAGCATCTTGTCTGCAATCGTGGGACCGAAGAGGGTAAGTCATAGTTAATGATTGCTTGTTTTAATAGCTCACAATTGTTACAACTAGAAAGTTGAAATTTGGAAATATTTTATGGAATTAAAGTAGTGTGGTTGCATTGAACTAGAAACTGCAGTGGTCAGAGTTGCTTACAGTATATTGGTGAGCTGTTTTTTATTCGGTTTTATTCTGAATTCCAAAGGTTCTGTTCAAAAGTGCTATTTGCCTGATTTATCCTAAGATGCTAGGTTCGATAAAATTGTTTCTCAATTTCTCATTCTTAAAATGCTTATATAATACAATATCAGTACATATAAGCATAGTTATGTTTTTGTAATCTTGAAATAATGATGTATTTTACATATGGTAGGTATGTGTTTAGCACAAGTTATATAACAGCACTAGTTAATAACGATGTCAGTTTGCGTTTTGCATATTGCGACAGAGTTTTAAACTTGCAATGTTACAAAGTTAAGTTGGGTTTTGAATAGCAAAATAATATCGCATACGTGCCGATCGAGTGGTGTGCTGTGTTAACAAGATGACATCTGAACTTTTTGAACATCAAGTAATATAGCTAATAGCACCAGGAACAACTACATATATTAGATTTTATTAGCTACAGTCCTGCTGGATGCTGTGAGCTACAGTCCTGCTGTGTGCTGTGAGCTACAGTCCTGCTGGGTACTGTTAGCTACAGTCCTGCTGGGTACTGTTAGCTACAGTCCTGCTGGATGCTGTGAGCTACAGTCCTGCTGGATGCTGTGAGCTACAGTCCTGCTGTGACCTACAGTCCTGCTGGATGCTGTGAGCTACAGTCAGCTTATGTGCATGTGACGCTAATGCATAGGTTCAAATCGAGTCTATGTATAGTTTACAGTCAAGCTGATCCTGCATTAGCTTTTGAGATAGAGCTCACAGATCCTCAGTCAGGAAGTTTCAGCTGTCCGCCTGATGCCTACACAAGTCCTAAGTGACGATCTGTAACGTGTGAGCTACAGTGCCCTGTGTCTGGATGCTGTGAGCCTACAGTCCCCTTGCTGTGAAATGCTGTGAAGCATACAGTTCCTGCTGTGTGACTGTGAGTCTACAAGCGTGGCTGGCATGATTTATAGCTAGAAGTTTACCAGTACGCCGTTGCGCCTGCCCGTACGCTTGTAGAGCACCTCACAGTTCTGCTTGGGTGCTGTTGGTTTTAGTCTTACATGTCCTGTTTGCATGCTGTGTGTAGCTACTAGTCCTGCTGGGTACTGGTGAGCTCTATCAGTCCTTGCTTTGGTGCTGTGAGCTACAGTCCTGGCTGGTGGCTGTGAAGCTTAGCAGTCCCTGCTGGCGTGGGGGGGGGCCTTGTGAGCTACGATCGGCATACCGTTTCCTGCGTTAAGTACTGGATGCTGCTGAGCTACAGTCCTGCTGGGTGCTGTGAGCTAACAGTCTTGCTGGGCTGGCTGTGCCACCTGTCTCAAACTACGTCCGCTGCCCAGTTGTAGAATGCTGTGAGCTCACAGTCCTGCGAAAGGCTGCTGTTGTAGCCTTACCAGCTCACTGCGTCCCTTGTGATTGCATGTGAGCTATCAGTCGACTGCATCGGATGGTGCTGCTGCAGCTTCTCACAGTCATTGACTTTCGGTGCCTCGATGAAGCCGTACAGGTCGTGGTGACTTTGGTATAGTCTTTGGTGAGCTACACAGTAGTGTACCTGCTGGGACCCTGCTTGTGTAACGTCTAGCAGTCCTGCTGATGCTGCCGTGGCAGAGCTACTGCTCAGTCCTCGCCTCGTGTGTTGCTGTTGAATAGCTCCACAGTGTCCTGCTGTGCTTACTGTGTACCTGACTGAGCGTCTCTCGTGATCGTGCTTATAATCTGCAGGTTTGCACATGAGCACATTCACTGCAACAACTTGAGTATACATCATGCCAAACCAAATACGCCGAGGTCCTTTGGGCTAACCTGTTCTCTAATCCACCAGAAATCACCGCGTCCGCCGTTGTGTGATTCGTGTGTACTCGTATGTACTACAGTCCAACACTCGATGTTTGCTCGCACTGAACGAGCAAATCAGGGGCCGCAAAGAGAACGAGTTAACGTCGGCCCGCACTCCAGTGTCTTCCAGCAGCCACTGATTACCGATTCGCCCACCGCTAATACTAATAGGACGCTTTCACAGCGTAAATTGCGTTGATCTTTGCGCTGCTGTTTTTACTTCAAAAAGCGCGGGAGCTGCGTGAGCGATTGCGATATTGGCGCGAGAACGCGCGCGCGTTGTCGAGTCCGAGCCACAGGCACTTGGAGCGTTTCAATAAAATATAATGCTAATTAAATACGAAATATATTTACTACCAAAGTGTTAATGTTTCTCTACTCTCCTTCACCTAGTATTATTGCCGACAAGCCGTGCTGCAAATACTCCAATGACAGCAAACACACGCCCACCGAATGCACGCTGCTGCGCCGCTGCACGCTATGTACACTTACACATAAATATATCTATAGATATTTATGTGTAAGTGTGCATATAGGGTGCAGCGGCGCAGCAGCGTAGCAGCGTGCATTCGGTGGGCGTGTGTTTGCTGTCGTTGGAGCATTTGCAGCACGGCTTGTCGGCAATAATACTAGGTGAAGGAGAGTAGAGAAACATTAATTAAGACTTTGGTAGTAAATAGATTTCGTATTTATTTAGCATTGTATTTTATTGAAACGCTCCAAGTGCCTGTGGTCCGTGCAGTGTTTTCCTGATTCGTGGCTTGGCTGTTGGCCGCGCAACGGAGATGCAAGCTAATACGCGCATCCGCTAAATTTAATTGGATTTCCCGCAATGTGTGGAGAGAGACACACGAAAGTAATTTGATGGGAATCACGCTATCTTTCCGTGACACGTACGTGATATTGATATTGACTGCAGAAGGAAGAAGGCTGGCAACGGAATTGGTTATTAATAATTTGCGTGTCTAAATTCGTGTGTAAGAAATGTATTGGATTATTCTTGCAATAAATTATATAAGTAAAAGTTACTGTATGTATATGGCTGGATAGATAAGTATGGATACACACGTATAGTTACAGATTATAAATGATTAATTTTAATCTTGAAATTTGTTGCAAATTTAATCGTTTACACTCTCGCTATCGGTAATGTGTGTAAGTAAGTGTACGAAAGCTCGATCCATATCTTCAATATTTTCACGAACCTGACAAGGTTTTAAATCACGAACAAAGCCTCTAAATCATCTGCAACCGTGAGTTATTTATTTTGCAGCGGTCACGAGTCGACTGAATGTGAATTGGGCCGTCATATTACTAAATGTGAATATGAGCGCAGCTATTCCATGATTCGCTGCATACTTCTAACATTCCGCGGAAAGATTGTCCACGTAATATATAGTCACACAGCGAAAAATTATATAGCGTCACATAGCAAAAAGCGTAAACAATTATATATATTTATGTGTGTGTGTGTGTGTGTGCGTGCGTGTTTGTGTGTGTGCGTGCGTTCGTGCGTGCGTGCGTGCGTGCGTGCCTGCGTGCGTGCGTGTTTGTGTGTGCGTACGTGCGGGTGGGCGGGCGTGCGTCCGTCTGTGTGTGCGTGCATGCGTGCGTTCATGCGCTGCATATGTGTGCGAGCGTGCGTGCGTGCGTGCGTGCGTGCGT